TTTTGATGGGCCGTTCATATCAATGGCCACTTAATGCTTACCATTCCTCGTCCTTATGTGCGTTAAAAAACTCGATAATTTGTTTTCTCTTAAAATCCAACTTATAATCGCTATACTTCTTAACGGCGATCTGATCGTCAATGTCGTCGCCCTGTGTGCCTAAAAACTGCTTGAATGTCATCATTGGTGGCTGAGTGGGACCCGTGTCCGCCTCCCTATCCCATCACATCAAATGTAACAAAACATTTATCGCAATCAATATACAAATGCATGTCTAATGAGTTGTGGTTACAAACCTGTGCTGATTCTGGTTCTGAGAGTTGGGACCGCTATTATCCATTTGAGTCCAGTTATTGTTGTGATGTCCGTAACCGCCCATTTCGTAGTTCGGATACGGAGACCGATCGTCCCAATCACGACCCCCTCTCTGCCGCTTCATTGGCGGACTCATATCACTCCTATCGGCCGGACTGTACCGCTCGCGGCGCTGATTACCGCCACCACCCGGTCCTCCTCCTCCCATCGAGTAGTTGTCGTTCCGATAGTTGTCTCGGCGCTGAGGAATGCGGTCTCTGTTCTGGTTATTCCAAGAGCTGTTCCCTCCGCTCTCACGCCTAAAAATATATACAAAATGTCAATAAAAACAATATAAAAAGCGCTGAAAAGTCGGCCATTCATTCATTACCGGTCGGACCAGTCGTCGCGTCGATTGCCGCCGGAGTTGCGGTCGTTGTAGTCATTTCTTTCGCGGCGAAACTTATCGCGACCTCTGGTCGAGCGGTCAAAGTCGTCGTCGCTGTCGCCCATTGTCTGTCTCCTCACAAGTGGTGATCGGATTGTCGGCTAAAAGGATGTGTCACTGAAAAAATCAAACCACAAGATATCAAACAAAAGGCATTCAAAACACAATGCAATCAAGAGTTGTAAAGCAATTCAATGTAAAAAACAAATATTTGATTACAAAAGTCATAAACAAAATGTCAACAAAACATTTGAAAAAACAAAAACAATTGAATCAAAATCAACGCTATATTTGTGCCGACAATTGTGTCGACATATTATGGCTGTTATAATGGCGTCAATGAGTGACAAATGCAGACACAATCGGCTCATCAAATATACTGACACTAATACTCACATCAGTTGTACACTATATGTATGACTCAATACACTATACGAGTAATTGTTGTGTCAAATACTCACATAATTAACAAAATGAATGAATTGTATGAATGAATCGTCCGATCGATTGAATGCCCAAAAAATAATTAAATGCAGAAAATCGTAGACAAA